AAAAAAAAAAAAACTTAACAAAGGAGGAGAAAGACCTCCACAATGAGATCTGTAAAAAAGTTAACAGAAACAAAAGAGAAGGAAAATTAACACTATTAACACTATTAAAATGCCCTTTACCCAACACAATATACAGATTTCATGAAATCCCTATCAAATTCCAACAACTCCTTTTAAGGAAATTGAGCAAAAACACTGCTGAAATTTGGATGGAGTCACAAAACACCCCAAATAGCCAAAGCAATCCTGAGAAAAAAAAGAATAAAGGCATTATGTTGCTGAGCTTCTAATTATACTACAAAGCAATAGTAATCAAAACAGTATGACACTGGAACAAAATAGACCAATTGATTAATGGAACAGAATTGCAAGTTCAGAAATAAAATCACATTGATAGGGGCAGGGAGCCAATAACACATAATAAAGGAGGAAAAATCTATTCAAAAATGGTGCTGGAAAAAATTAGACAGGTACATGCAAAAGAATGAAACTAGACAACTATCTTACACTAGACACAAATATTAATTAAAGATGGATTAAAGACTTGGATGTAAGGTCAAAAATCACAAAATACACAGAAGAAAACAATGGCAAATGTTTCATGATATTTATTTGAGGGGTGTCTTTGGGGTCTCACCATTGCAACAAGGGAAACAAAAGAATAAATAACAAAGGGTTTACATCAATTTAAAAGGCTTCTGCACTGTGAAAGAAACTATCATTAAACAAAAAGATAGCCTACAAATGTAAGATATTTGTACACCATACTTCCGGCAACAGCCTAATATTCAAGGTCTACAAAGAATTCAGATATGACTCAACAAAAAGAAAACAAATTGCCCGATCAACAAAAGTGAGCCCAAAGCTAAACAAACACTTCGCCAGAGAACACATGAAAAAAAAATGTTGATTATCACTTATCATCAAGGAAATGTAAGTCATAACCACAATGAGTTACTACCTCACAACTGTGAGAATAGCCTGTATCAATAAGGTTAGAATAAGTGTTTGTGAAGATGTGGATAGAAAGAAATCTTTGTATACTATTGGTTGGAATGTAGAGTAGTCCAGCCTGTATGGAAAACAGTATGGAAGTGTCTCAAAATATTAAAAATTGATCTACTTGGCCCTCCCTGGTGGCGCAGCAGGTAAAGCCACTTACACATGAGTTCAATTCCCACCTGCCCCAGAGAAGATCCACATGGCGTGGCAGACCTCTCCTGACCCGCCCGCTGCTCCCCTCAGCAGTGTACTTCGTCGATCTGCCTGTTCTGCTCCCCACTCTGTCCTGGTGAATCCTCTCACCCTCCGCATCTCTGGCCTGTACCCCGTTCTGTATGAATAAATAAATAAATGTTAAAAAAAATTGATCTACTACATAATCCAGCAATTCTACTCCAAGATATCTCCCCAAATAATACA